CCCGCAGGCTGACCCTCTGGGCAATCCCCCTTTGCTTTTCTCCCCCAGCAGCTGAGGAAGAAGTCCTGCTGGGGGAAGGAGGAGGCCTGAGCCGGCCGGGCGCCCCCACCCACACGGAGTGAGACCCTGGACTTGACACTGCCCTGCAGCCGAGCTGGGAAAGAAAACACCCTCTCCCCTGCCAGTCCCCCCACCCACACCCACCCCGGCAGCAAATAAAGCACGGACGTACAGAAATGGCTCTTTTATTTAATGTTTTAATTTCCAAAGGGCAGACTCGGGTCATAGGAAATGGAAACACACACACACACACACACACACACACACACACACACACACTCACAAAGCCCTGGGGACTTGGTCATCCATGGCGCAGATGCAAGCAGAATGGGTGCCTCCTGGACATTCTAGGATCAAATGGGACGCTGCTGTGGCTGCTGGGTGCCCTGGGTGGACCCGGACTCCTAGCGGCCCTCTGCGGCAGTGAAGCTGCCCATGGGCTACTCTGTAGATTGCCCCCCACCCACCCACGGCTGCTGGGTGGCTCAAACTGGCAGCCTTCAGGCTGGGTGACAGCTTCGCCACGGTGCCACCAGGGCTCTGTTACATATTACGTTAGACTCATCCCGTGGCAAGCTTTGGGGCAGCCTTCCCACTGTGCGTGAGGAAACCGGGGCCTGAGTCACAGGACAAAGACTGGAATTCAGGTCCCTGCATCTAATGAGGCGCTCGCTCGCTCGCCTAATGACGAGCCGGAGGTACCTAATGGGCCAGAAGATTGTAAGGCCCTGGCACTCAGCCCCTCGCTGAGCAACTTCTAACCAGCCCTTTAACCTCAATGAGCCTTTGCAAAAGGCAGGTGGTAAGATCTGCCTGGAGAGCTGGCGCCGGAGGTGCCAGCAACGAGCAAATGGCCATTCTTATTACCACCTTGTGACTGCCTGCTCCCGCGTCCGTCCACAGCACAATCACCCAGCCAACCCACTTATTCCTGCCCTCCTAAGCAAAGACTGGCTGGGAAATGTTATTCTAATTTTAATTGAACATTAATGAACGTTCATTTATTTATAAGCTGGGGTCAGTCACCGGGGTCCTTCTCAACCCAGCCCCCTACTCCCCAGCCCCGCAAACACACCCCATGGCAAAACAAATGGAGGCAGGGGGCTGCCGGGGGGGCATGTGGGAACAGAAGAGGAAACAGGATCGGAGTCTCCGGATCCAGACCCCACCTCACCCTCTGACCCCTACCATGCCAGGCCACTCCCTGGCTCTAACATGCTCCAAAGGCCCGTGGGGCACAGATGTGTGTCCTTTTGCCTGATGTACACCACCACCACCACCCCCATAATGCCGACCTATCAGCGGGGGGTGCCCGGGGAATGTCTCCAAAGATCCGAAAGTCCCTAACTCAGGGGGACCCTAATACCCATCCATCGGAATACAATCTGGTCCTGGGCCATCCCCGTGGTCAGCTGCAGAGCCACAGGCTTTTTTTCTGGTTGACTTTCAGCTGTAGGACCACCAGGCCTTTCTCCCTAGCCTGTCTGACTCTGGAAGTCTATGCAGTGTCCTCACAGCATGCCAGCCTTCACCCACAGACGGGTGGGAGCTGTAGGAAAGGGTCCTGGCCAGGAACCGAACCGGGGTCTCCCGCGTGGAAGGCAAAGATTGTACCAGTGAACCACCACTACCTTCATACCAGCTGCTGTTGCAGCTACGCCAGCTAGTGGCGAGCCCCTGTGCATGTCAGGCTGGAACTAAGTGCCCACAGAATTTGTTCCACAGCTAATTTGTTTGGCCCCCCAAATCCCAAACTCACTGTCGTTGAATCATTAGCCAATAACCATAATCAAACCCACACCCCGTGAGTTTCCAAGGCTGTAACTTCTTAAGGCATAGGGAAAGCACCCATCTTTCTAGCTAGTGGTTTTGAACTGCTGACCTTGCAGCTAGCAACCCAACTCACAACCATTACACCACCAGGGCTCCTGACGCAATTGGCAGTAGATGACCAGACCTTTCTCTGAGGTGCCTCTAGGTGGACTGGAACCTTGCATCTAAGAGCAAGAGCGTTAGCCCAACCAGGGACTCCGAGAGTTAATATCAGCCTTTAACTCCAGGGTGCAGGCAGCTAGCCCCCACCCCACCCCAGGAGGAGATTTCAGTCCAGGTGGTAGGTGCTTCTCAAACCAGGAATTGGTTCAGTCGCCAGAGTGCCTAGGAAGGGAGAGAGAGCCATCTGGTCCCCAGAGAAGTCCTGTTCCACGGCCAGGCTGCAGTCCAGCTGCCTCCACTCTCCTCCGCCTCCCCCCCTCCCCTCTCCCCTGCAGCCTGTGCGGCTACGGCGGACATCTGTATGCACAGCATCCGCCCGCTGCTGCTTAGAAGTGCCGGCTCTTTCTTCTCGCCTTTTCCTTCCCCTGCCACTGTTCGATTTCTCACAATCGCCTCAAATCATTCTCTTTCTTTGCCAACCAGCTTCTCTGGCGTTTCCGGGACAGCGGCCTCGATTGCTTACACCGGGAAGCGCACAGCCCTGGAAGAAAGTGAAATCACCAAGTGGGGCTGGAGGCGAGGTGGCTCCCTGGGAGAAAGAGTCCAGGTTTTCCCCAACCAGAAGAGCAAAGAGACTCAGTGCCTGGCGAGAGCAACGGGCTTGAACACCAGCTGGGCTCTGAGGCAGGGGACCAAGGCCACCATGTCTCACCCCTGGCTGGGCCATAGGATAAGCAAGGGCCAGGCACCACACAGCAGTGACAAGCAGGACTGGCCGCCTTCCTCCAGGAGGTTCCTGATCACACCGAACAGGGACCACGGGCACGTCACAGGCCGACCTGAGTTGAGCTTCCGAAGATGGAGATGATGAGGCATTTTCTCAGGGCCCACATCCTTGTGATTTTGTAATCACCGAGCTAACGTGGATTTGCCATGAAATTGAACAGTGAGAAGCAGCGCTTAATTGCCAGATATCGGTACTCTATAATTTAGTGTAATTTAATCATGGACAAAACCCCAAAGAAGATGTCCGGAAAGCATGTGGCTTGGCTTCAGCCACCGTTTGTCATTGACACGGTGGGGCTGTCATCGGGTCTCCGCGGGAGCTCTTTCCGGCAGATGTCCAGGTCTGGGGGGGCCCAGAGGCTGAGAGTTGCCCCCACTGAACTCTTGGGGGGTGAAGAGAGAGAGAGTGATGACAGAGTCCAGCCGCATTTCTGTGACCCCCCGTTGATTCACCCCGAACCAGATGAAAAGCAGGGCGTTCCACACACCGGAAGGAGAGAAGCAAGCCGTTGGGAGGTTCTTAGGGGGGGTGGAGGGGTATTGGGTGAGGGAGTGCCATCCCTCCAGCCCAAGTCTGAGTCCCACAGGGCACCCACTTTGCCTGCTCCAGGGTGGACCCACCAGCCCTGTTTGAAGAGCGGCCCAGGGCAGGCGGATCAAGGATGGGGCTCCGGTGCCAGAGCGTGGTGGAGAACCTGAGAAATGCGCACAGGGCTTTTTGCGGGCGGAGAAGGAGGAGGGAACCCACTGGAAATGTGATGGGCCTGATGATGATAAGGCCCTGCTGGGACAGAGGGAGGTCAGCAGGACAGAGGGCCCAGTGGCAGGCACCTGACTGGAACTCAGAGCGAGGTCCTCCCTCGGACGACCTCCCCGCTGCGCGCCGCGCGGATGTGGGTACTGAGTAGCCGCAGAGGCTGGACGCAGAGTCCCGCTTTCGTCTTTAATAAATCAGGAAGGCCGGCCGCTGCCTAGGCTGCTCACCTAAAAAAGACCCACAGCAGAGGGCGGCGAAGGAGGGCGGGCAGGGCAGCCTTTGACTCGTTGGCGAGGTGGTGCATTTCTTTCAAGTCCTGGGGCTCCTGTTCCCCCCCCCTCCCCCCGGCCCCCCGGAAGGGAGGCTGGTGCGGGAGATGCAGGAGGCATCTGCGCTCTGGAGGGCCTGGGGGAAGCGCCGACCCAGACCAGGGCGCGTGGTGGCCCAGATGGCCTGAGGCCGGGCCCTTCAGAAGGAAGTGTGGGCAAGGGGTGGAGAGAATTTCAATAAAATAGGGGTGGGCCTCACAGAAGGGTCGCGGGGAGAAGACGAACCTGTTCAGGGTGCGGTGTAGCAACGATGAAACCTACAACTTTCCTCTAGTTCCTAAATGCTTCCTACGCCCCCACCCCATTATCATGATCCCAATTCTACCACACAAATCCGGCTGGACCAGAGGATGTACATTGGTACAGATGGGAACTGGAAACGCAGGGAATTCAGGACAGATGATCCCTTCGGGACCAGTGCTGAGAGTGGTGATACTGGGAGGGTGGAGGGAGGATGGGGTAGAAAGGGGGAACCAATTATAAGGATCTACATGTGACCTCTTCCCTGGGGGCTGGGCAACAGAAAAGTGGGTGAAGGGAGACGTCGGACAGGGCAAGATATGACAAAACAATAATTTATAAATTATCTAGGGCTCATGAGGGAGGGGGGAGCAGGGAGGGAGGGGAAAAATGAGGAGCTGATGCCAGGGGCTTAAGTGGAGAGCAAATGTTTTGAGAATAATAAGGGCAATGAATGTACAAATGTGCTTTACACAATTGATGTATGGATGGATTGTGAGGAGTTGAATGAGGCCCTAATAAAATGATTAAAAAATATTTCACAATATATAATTTTTAAAAAATCATCAACAGTTAGAAAGTAAATAAATAAAATAGGGGTGGGGATTGCTGGTGGAGGGCCAAGTGGCAAACAGAAATCAGGGCCAGCTTGGAGCCCGAGTCCCTGAGCCCGGTAGGGCCTGAGGCTTAGGAGGAACCAATAATGGACAGTGCGGTTTCTTGCTCCCAAGGGTCCTCTGCAGCGCTGTGAGGTGGGCCAGGGAAGCGTTGTTCCCCAGCCAATTCCCACGGCAGCTGGCCTTGCCTGGGTGCCTGTTAACATGTACATCCATCCAAGGCTTGTCGGACCCAGCAAGACAGGGCCATTGACCGCCAAAAGCCACCGTGGGTCAGAGTAACCGGGCAACCAAAGGCTGAGGTGGCAAGCATGATGGGCTCTAAGTTAGAGGGGGAGGGGCCCCATGGGTGCAATGGCTAAGACACAGCTGCTAACGGAACAGCTGGTGGTTCAAAG